TCTCTAGATCGCCAGGGAGTTCAGAATGAATCTGGCTGCTGACCACGTCAAGGTGAGTGATTGTTCGGGAAATCATGTATACGAGAAATCACCCTATCCTTTTTAAGAAGTCAGCCTCTTGCATGGTTGACATAAGGTCCAGGATGTGTGGATGTCTAGTCCTATTTGCGTTGCCTCACTCAAAGGCCATGATATCAATCACCCAGCGACATTTGCAGGTGAACTGAATCTCGTTGACATGAAGGATACCGGTATTGAAACATCCGTCTCACTTGCGCAGCTCTGTCGTCGGCTGAGTATTACTTAGCACACGACATATCCCCGGCGTTGAAACCGGACATAGAGCCACCGTCTTTACTTGAGTTTGCCTGGGCACCGAGCACACTTGGCTAGAACATCGCAGGAATAGGCATGAAGGCACCCGGAACTGGTACATTGGCGTATCAAATTCTTTTCGCGAGTAGTGAATTCTACAACCTAACTAGTAACGATTTGTCGTTTTTCAACACCCACCCACACTCTCTCTCCATTTCACTATGATTTCCAACTCCTCGGTCTCTGTGGTGCATAAAGACGGTCATTGTGCCTGAGCCAGCTTGTGAGGCAATTGATTGCGTCTTCCTCCGTGACTTCTGATTTGCAGGGGGGAACCCAAGAGTTGCGCGACTGTTCGTGAAATGGTAGCGCCCGTAAACTGGAAAAACCCTCTCACCTGCGTTTCGAGTCGTAGCCATACTACTTGGCTCTGATGCTTTGTATGCCTGGGAAGCTATTCCTTCAGAATACTGCCAAAACAAGAGACCATATCACCTCTACGAGGCCAAGTGGTGTCATAACGTGTCTGCAAATTACGGGATCCAAACCATAAGACATGTCTTTGATTCCAAAAGATAACCGTTGCTACTATTGCGTCAACAATTGTCTTACAGATGTTAGCTTCCAGTAACTGATGCCAATTTTATACGTTTACACGGAGCAGTATGACGTGCAAGGTTTGGAGTCGTCAGTCTCGAGTCTGACGGGATAGAGGCTAAACATTAAGACTGTTTCAAGATAGGACACAAATATAAAAAAGGATCATCTAGTCAATCTCTTGCCAAACGACGCAATTCAAGCTACCTTTTCAAAGGCTGAACTGTGTCTTGCTTTGTGGAAGTTGAGCTTTACTAACCCAGTCCTCTACAAGTCCCATGCCAGTGACATATACTCCAATTCCGCATAAGATATTTTCTGGATAAAGAGCTGTGATATTAGTAGTATACATCCCGAATGCTACGGGAAGAAGGAAAGCCAACAGGGAAGGCGGCGTGCTTCATCTACTTTTGTTTCCCACTGAAGACAGTTCTTGTGAAACTTTTCATAAGTGTAAGCAAGAAGAACTGAATGAGACATAGTGTTCACAGAACAGAACACAAGTCGATTGGCGCTCTGTCAAATTCACCACACTAATGCTACATGATTTATACTTGGTGTTCTGTATTTGTGTTCTGATCTTTGGATCGCACTTATTCAGTAAGCAAGCGCGTTCATAGATGTTACTTTTACTCTGAACACGTCGGCATCTGCAATACTAGTAACAAGAAGTTATGGATGAATCAGGTCAGTTGCTATGTTGTTTGTTCGCAGGATTACATCTTCAGCAAAACGTTCCCAAAGCTTTTCGCTTCAACTATTGTGTTGTAGCGACATAGCAAAAGATTTGTCTCTTTGAAGGTCACCTGCGAACGGCGTCTTTGCTGAGCAACTCACTCAGAATAGCTTAAAATATGATATTCTAGCAATCTCGCTCTCACCAGTGTTATGTTTCTGCGAAGCAAGTACTAAAAAAGTAACTCGTGCTCTGAAAACGTTGTGTAACGGAGCAAAAGATTGCGCCGAGGGGGAATCGAACCCCCGGCTCCCCGACGCTGCTGGATGGCAACGGAGAATTTTACCACTAAACCATCGGCGCTTGTGGGTGTTAAACCTGCTATCTTTGTCATACAGGTGACAACCATTCGCACTTCCAGCGCCTCACAGATCTCCAGTGATGTTCTTGAGACGCACAGGAAGCACAATTGGGCTGGACACCAAGTGATGATGATCAAAGTTCCGGATTTGAAGCAATTGGCCAAAACGCAGTATGCTTGCAACATGGACAATGGGAGTGCCCTGTTCTGAACGGGGCATCAGCATCTGCAAGCCGCAAGCGAAAAGTGACATCCACTGAGGCCAAACTCCGCGACAACCCCACCAACTACAACCGTTCTACAGCGAAACATAGCCCATGCAATAATCTAATGATGCAACGAGCAATCCTCTCAATTTCCCCCCAATGTGGCTTGGTTCTGCATGACGATATGACTGTATTGCAGCAGTTGAGTCAAATATGTCGTTCAATTGGAATTAGCGGCAAAGAAGCGCAGCAGAAACGTGCGGCCGAGGGTCCATGCAAGTTCCATGGTGACTCATAGTGACTGGCCTGGCCGTTTACGGCTCCTCCTGCTTGTTTTGTCAGCCTTACAGCGGCCACAGCGAATACTTGCCACACTCCTGCCACCAAAGGAAGCCCGGGGACCAAAATTTTAGCGGAGCCCCACCCAATGAACTGTTCTGCGATTAAGTCCGGCCCGTCGACAACCGCCCCCAAAGGGAACTTCGATTCATCTAGAGGCTGCTTCCATAATCTTAAAAGTCGCCTCCCGGGCCCTCAAAGGGAAAGGAAGCTTGACATCAAAGTCAATTCACCTCCTTTCTTTCCCATTCACTCTTTGTGAGGCCGCATTTTGTCGCCCAAGCTTTGCCGCCCAGCCTGGCAGCACCCGTACGAAGACGCTGTATTTCAAAAAGCGCAATCACCATTTCATCATCACAGCAAACGTTGACGACAGCAAGCGGATCAGCCATGTCTGAAGGCGGAGGAGCGCAGACTCAGACGCAGACGCAGACTCAAGCGAGTTCGTCAAGCAGGGGAGGAAGGAGAGGCAGGTCCGGACGAGGAAGAGGGGGTCGAGGTCAGGGTGATGGCGGTCGTCGAGGCGGCGGCCGGAATGCCGCTGCCCAGTCGCAACCGCAGAACCAGAATCAAAGCCAGAATCAGGCCGGCCCAGCACCAGCGTCTGAGCCGATTGTAACGGCAGCACCTCGTGAGATCGCACCAGATGCGTCAGCTTCTGGCTCAGGAAGGAGAGGAAGAGGCCGTGGTGGTTCTAGAGGTGGCCGAAGAGGTGGCGGTCGTGGCGGCTCCGGAGTTGCGGCGCCCGTCCCTGGAACCCAGCGGACGTTTGGTGGTCGTTTAACGACGAATGCCGGCCCCGACGAAAATGCGGCAGCTGGTTTGAGTGCAGCTGCTCCAGATTTCGTGCCTGGGCAGCCCGTCCCTCAGAGATCGTGAGTTTGATATTCGCCACTTATTATGTTTCTGAGACTAATGCCGTCAAAGTGCACCTGCGCCCAAGCAGAAGAAGCCTCAATATCCTCTGGCACCAAAGTCTACAGCAGCAGATTTGCCTACGAGGATCCATGAGGACATTAGCCACGGCCAGTACGAGTGCGTCATTTGTTCAAGCGAAGTGCTGCGGTCATCTCGAGTATGGTCTTGTGGTTTGTGTTGGACCGTATTGCACTTTTCCTGCGTCAAGAAATGGTACACGAGCCAGCTCAAGAAGGATGATGACACGCACTCTTGGAGATGCCCAGGTTGCAACTCCAACCTTACCGAGGAGCCCACCTCGTATCACTGCTGGTGTGGCAAAGACATCAACCCGAGAAACGTTCCTGGTCTGCCTCCTCACTCCTGCGGACAAACCTGCTCGAAGCCCAGGTCGACATGTCCACACCCGTGCCCCCTCGAATGCCACGCCGGGCCGTGTCCACCTTGTACGTTAATGGGCCCGACTCAGGCATGCTTCTGCGGGAAGCATGAAGTTACGAAGCGATGTACCGAGACGGACTATGGCAATGGATGGAGTTGCAAGGAGATTTGCGGAGACTTGCTACCGTGCGGCGAGCACTTTTGTGCGACACCATGCCATCCAGGCTTGTGTGGTAGCTGCGAGATCCCAATGCAGGCGAGATGTTACTGTGGAAAGGAGCATAAGGAAATCCCCTGCGATCGACGAGGCGATTTGGAGATGTCCTTCAACTATGGTCAGATTTCTTCTGAGTCGGAGGATTCTTCCGAGGACAGCTGGTTCGACGGCTCATTCGATTGCGGTGCGACTTGCGGGAGAAATTACGACTGCGGTTTTCATGGGTGTGAAAAGACCTGTCATCCGCAGGATGAGGTTTCGGCTCACTGCCCACTCTCCCCCGACGTCGTGGCGAATTGCCCCTGCGGCAAGACGCCGTTGGAGGAGCTTCTCGACCAGCCGAGACAGTCTTGCCAGGATGAGGTTCCTCACTGCAAGAAGACCTGTGGAAAGACATTGTCTTGCGGCCACCAGTGCGTCGACACCTGCCATATCGGCCCTTGCAACCCCTGCTTCCAAAAGATGGACATAAGCTGTCGATGCGGCCGTACCAGTTGCACTTCGCTCTGTCACCAAGGCGAAATCGCGCCGCCGATGTGCATGAGGGTCTGCCAGGGTCAACTGAATTGCGCCCGTCACAAGTGTGGTGAGCGCTGCTGCCCTGGAGAGAAGCGGGCCATCGAGAGAGCCGCCGCCAGACGGAAACACCGCCCGCAGATTGCGGAGGAGGTGGAGGCAGAGCACATCTGTGTTCGCGTGTGCGGGAGAACGCTGAAGTGCGGAACTCATGAGTGTTATCAAATTTGCCATTCTGGGCCATGCCCGAGCTGCTTGGAGGCTGTTTTCGAGGAAATCAGTTGTGCTTGCGGCAGGACTGTCCTCCAGCCGCCTCAACCCTGCGGCACCCCGCCCCCTGAGTGCCGCTTTGATTGTACCAGAGCTCCGCCATGCGGCCACCCTTCGGTCAAACACAACTGCCACCCCGACGATGTTCCTTGCCCGAAGTGCCCTTTCCTCGTGGAGAAGGCTTGCATCTGCGGCAAACAGAGAATGAAGAATAGACCTTGCTGGCTTGAGGAAGCTCGCTGTGGTCTTCCTTGCGGCAAGAAGCTCAAGTGCGGGTAGGTTAAGCACACGACTACCCGATTGGACATACACTGACAAGTTATCAGCACGCACACCTGCAGAAAGGAGTGTCATCGCCCGGGTGAGTGTGAAGATGCCGAAATTCCTGGCTCTCATTGCGCCCAGCCCTGCGGCAAGACGCGCAAGTCCTGCGAGCATGCTTGCCAGGATTCGTGCCACGCCCCTTACCGTACGTGATCCCTTTTCAACTTCCTGACTTCTGTCTAACAATCACCAGAATGCAAGGAAGACCGGCCATGTCAAAGCAAGACCTTCATTACCTGCGAATGCCAAAACCGCAAGAAAGAGGTTAAGTGTCTCGCCACGAAGACGAACCCCACACCGGACCGTGACACCCTCAAATGCGACGATGAATGCCTCCGTCTTCAACGTAACCAGCGCCTTGCCGCCGCTCTCAATGTCGACCCGGACCACACTGACGACCACATCCCCTACTCCGACACGACCCTCAAGCTCTTCCGCGAGCTCTCCCTTACGTGGGCCCAAAATCAGGAACGCGAGTTCAGAGTCTTTGCCTCCGAGCCCTCCGAGAAGCGCCTCCGCTTCAAACCCATGCCCAAAGCCCAGCGCGCCTTCATACACAACCTCGCTGCGGACTTTGGCTTTGACTCAGAGAGCCAGGACCCGGAACCCCACCGCCACGTCTCAGTCTTCAAAACCCCGCGCTTTGTGTCCGCCCCGAAGAAGACACTCGCTCAGTGCGCCAAGATCCGCGCCGACGCCGCCAAACTCACCGCCGCCCCGGCCGCATCCTCCTCCGCGAACGCCTCCGCGGCACCGGAGCCCTTCAACGCCCTCCTCCTCACGGCACCGCGCTTCGGCCTCACGATTGACGAGATCGACTCCGCCCTTGCCACGCACCTGAAGTCCCACAACTCTCTCTCCTTCACAACCTCCTTCCTCCCGTCCGACGAGATCCTGATTCGCGCCGTACCCGTCACCTCCTGGGGCACCAGCCCCTCCGCCGTCGAATCGACACTCTCTTCCCTCAAGCCCCTCGTCGCCCGCACGGTCACAAAGGAAGGCCTCGCCGCCGCAGCTCTCCTCGTGACCGCCGACGCCAACCTCAACGTCCTCCGTCGCGAGGGCGCCGCCGCCGCAGGTGCCGGGGGCTGGAACGCCGTCGTCGGACGCGCCGCGGCCCAGCGTAGGGTGTTCGGCCCCGCCAAGCCCGAGACGACGCGGCCCAGCAGCGGCTTCGTCAGCTTCTCCAAGCTTGCGAGGAAGAAGGTCGTCGAGGACTCCGTGGCGGACGATTGGGAGGCTGCTGCGGATGACGAGTGAGGCGGTTTGCAGGGATCAGGATGAGAGACCAGAAGTGACGTTGTCCGGCCAAGGAAGTTAACGTTTTGAGATCGTTGGACAAGGAAGGTGCTTGGTGGTTTATCGCCTTGATTTCCCGCCTTGCGCATATCCATATATCCCCACGATCACGGAGAGATAAGCTTTAGACTTGTCACTGGAGATGCTTAGATAGATGCCCTACGAAGGGCAATATGCTTTCACGAGCAAGAAACCATCACAGGGGAACAGCTTCAGAATATTGAAATAGACATTACACAAAAGAAGAAGAAAACAAAAATCGAACAAAAAAACGAGTTAAATCATGCAACCATCTCTAAATCGTTCATAATTGCTATTCTATTCCCGTTCATCCGACAATGACATCGACGTACACTTCGAACACCCAACGCAACGCAAAGCAAAGTCGCATCGTCATCATCGTCAAGCCCCAGAACCCGCGATATCGCGCAATCTACTTATCACCAAGTCGGCTACGTCAAAGCATGCCACGTCAGAATACGATCACGGGATTCCGAGCTACAAACCCTGTCCTCCCCCGCTGGCCATGGATTCCTCGTTGGACGGGATGCAGGGTTCGTCCCAGTCATCAACGTCGTGAACTATCAACACCGTCAAGAGGATCGCACTTCACAGAAACGTATTTCCGTTTCTTCTCACAACCTGCGAACTTCGTGGAAGAGAGGGAGAAAAACGGTTTGCTCAGCTTGTAGACAGGCATTACGACCTCCCGTGGACTCAGCCGCGGTCTGTGGTTGAGTGGTCCACGCGGCCTGGGCTGGCTTCCCCTGTCCCTTGAACCACCCCGCACCCGAGCCGTGGGTGTAGAAACATCACATCTCACCTGATGAATATGCAGTACAGTAGATGTGAATACCAAAGTCGTTGCTTCATTAATTATATGCTACTTCTAGGAAGTCGAACGTAGCACCCCGGCCCGTTCTGTGGGCGCCGGGTGGGGGTATCATTCTAGGGACCATCGAGATGGTTATTAGGTGGTAGGAGAGAGACGCTGCCGCCACCAGCCTCCATAAAAAAGTCTTTCGCCTCTTGTCGTCTCGCGCAGGCCGTCTTGATCCATCCCAGGAACTCAAGAGGTCGCCTTCGCGTGCATGCCCGTGTATCGACTTTGCCTCCGACAGCAGAAAGCCTCTGAAAATACAGAGAAGAGGGATTCCCGGTCCGACCCCTTCGCTAGGATCTCGGCCACATGCCTGTTGAACCGTTCCTCGTCCTCGAAGTGCTTTCTCTACAAGCGCTGCTTCTCTTCCTTGCTGGCCCCGCCGGTTACATTCGCCAAGAAGTCGGCTATCGCTTCAAAGTAACCCTCCTCGAGGACGCTAGAGTTGTGGTCGCCCGCTGGCAGGGGTTTCCAGATTTTGGAGGGTGCCTGGGACAGCTCGTAAAGCTGGCGCATGTGACGAGGTCTGAGACATGTGTTAGTCTAGAGCGGTGACATCCAAGACAACACAAAAAAAAAACATGTTGGAGAAGCGGTATCAGACTCTCGTCGTAGGGTAAAATCAAGCGTCCCGAAGGACTCATATTTTGTGGGTGGTGACTTCAGATCATCATATCCGCTGGGTAGAAAGGTAGCAAAAACGAAGAGGAGAAGACTTACGGTACGATCTCATCCTGCAGGCCAGAGAGAAAAAGCATGGGCACCGAGGTGATGTTGGGAATCACCGACTCGCTCGGCCATACTTGGTGACACAAAAGGGTCAAGTACTTGGCCGGAGGAAGAACGGATGGGATAAGCTTGCGCATGGAGAGGAAGGTGTTCTCCAAGATCAAACCCGCAATATCGCCATCTTTTTGGTTCTTGGCGACAAGCTTGATGGCGACGGCCCCGCCCAAGCTCTGGCCGTAGACAACCAGCTTATGGCTGCTCGTCTCTGCGCGGGCGCGGAGGTAGTCAAGCGCCGTTTGCGCGTCGAGGAAAAGGCCGGACTCGTCAGGCTCGCCGGTGGAGAGGCCGTAGCCGCGGTACTCGAGCATGAAAACATTGCAGCCGATAAAGTTAATAAGCATGCGGGCAATGGGCAGGCGGTGACCGATATTGCCGGCGTTGCCGTGGAACATCAGGATGGTGACATTCGAGTTGTTGCCGCCGCGAGGGCCCCGAATGTAAAAGGCCGAGAGCTTTTCGCCATCGTTTGTCGGGATGACCAGCTCTTCGAAATCTTTAATTCCGTATTGTGAAGGTCGTGGGACTTCGGTGCGGGAATTCGGGGGCATGTGCGAAGGGTAAATCAAAGCCCTGGAGCCACACATGGTCTGGTTAGCTTGCTTTCGTTGTGGGGTCGCATCGGAAGAAGGTGGCGTCACATGGACACACACGCGAACCGCTTGGGTTGGGGGCGAAGGGAACACCTACTTCTGCTTGAAGTAGAGGAGGGTCGTCAAGACTGCTGCGATACCCTGCGAGGCAAAAGAGACGGATTAGCTTTGGGGACTAGCATAGCGGTAGAGGCACCATCTCGGGGTGAGGGCCCAAGAGGAGGGGTAGCAGACAGGAAGGTTGAAGGCTCGGTGAGAAAAGATGGGTAGTCCGTAGGACGAGGAGGCGGGAATGGCCATACCGTCGAGGCTATGGCTGGTAGCCGCATGTACGCGCCAACAGTACTGAGCATAGAGACACCCTGCTCAAGATAACTGTTGGAGGACGACGACGCTGAATTGGAGGAAGACATCTCGGAAGGGTCTCTCTTTTTCCTGGCGGGAGGAAAGGCGGAGGAAAGATTATATTTCCTCAATGCTGGACCAGTCGGCGAGCCCTCAATAGGATTAGGAAGGGACCTGACCAGAATTGATGGGGAAGGTAAGGCCCGAAGCGAGGAGGCAGAGTCCAGGAGAGAGCGGAGCCTCGCGGAGGCGGTGGAGGCCGACGCTAGCGGGCAGCAAGTACAGCCCACGCGGAGATTGGCGGGCAAGGTGACGGGTTGGATGTTAGAGCGCAAGTCGGTATGAGGCGATTGGAGACGCGAGCCAGGTCCAGGTCAACTGCGGTGGGCAGCCAACCGCAGCGCAGGCTCGCAACAGGACGAACAGACAGGGTCGCGCACGGAGCGGAGTGCTAAGCCTGGTGATTGACCGTCGACCCTGGAACCGGAAAGGCTGGCAGCGTTCCCTGATCGGAACGAAACCGAAGATCGGAGAGCGGTGTCAGTTTGTTGAGGAGCCAGAGCTCACTGGCACTGGACCTCTCGTTTTTGTTCTTGAGTCGTGAATGTTCCGTGTTTCGGGTTGCGAGCAGCAACGACGGCTGGCACTGAAGGCGCGGGAGGACACGGGCGACGGGAGATAGTGGTGTGGTTTTCTTTAGCAGGGCCGCATGATGCAGGTCAGGAGGGAAACCGTGTGAGGCGGGATCTCACAGCCGTGCCGCCGGCCGGGAGGTTTGGGGTGCAGCGAAGGCTGTCGGGGGGTTGCAGCGTTCAGCGCAGTGGGTGTCCTGGGCGGCCTTTTTCAATGTGCATCGAAATTCGAATCGGTGGATGAGGTCGGGGGCCAGCAACGAGGCGGGTCTGGGAGGCTTGTCGATGCGGCAGGTGACCTGATTTGGGGGTTGCCGGCAGGTTCTTTTCGGAGGTGCAGGGCTGCCAAGGCTTGTTGGACGGGCCTTGGAGGCGGAGGCAATCAATTTGACAGAGTGCGCGAGGAAAGAGTCGAGTTGCGAGAAGCGATGATACGATGTGATCGGTAATGATGATAGGGAGGGGGATGTTGGAGGCGAGATGTCCTGCGAACTAGTTTCCGAAATACGACAGCCAGCATGAAGCGAGGGGATATCATAAAAAAGTCAAAGGAGGCACTAGACGGTGTTTAAGGTGTTGGTTGGCTGACATTGTCCCGCTGCGACGCGGACACACGCGTTGATAGTCTTGTGTGGTTTCATTGCGTTTGTTGCTAAACGCGCCTAGCATGAAGCAATAAACAGCCATCGCATTGCCGGCGGTCCGTCTTTGATATTGGAGATGGAATGCTTGCTGAGCTTACCTTGGGTACTAAACGAGCACGGGATGACCGCTTTGCCATGCTGAAGATGTGAGCTTTTTTGCAGCTCTTCAACGAGATAGAGACTCTATCGCGAGGAAGCAACTTGACATGAATCATTCATATCTTGCGGCAATTCCGTGGATATATTCACTGTTCCTATTCGAGCACGTCGACGATTCATCGCATGTAAGTTTTGGTGGCCGCGGCAAGTCAGCATACACACCAAATGCCACACGAGACAGTGACAGAAGTCTGCTTGATGGAGGGACGGATCATGATCGCCGGAATGGGTAGCCAGCTCCCTCGAACTCAGGGGAACGCATCCAAAGCCGCAACATCCATCAACTTGTGTCCGCCGTCTCGTTACTTCAATACCTAGGAGGATCTGCCACTGAAACTAGACGTGGAAGACGGCGTGTGACAGGGAAGGAAAGGGCAAGGCATGACCTGGTGGGGGATTCGTGCCTCTCAAAATGCAATCTCGGGCCCCCAAGTGCGCCGTGGGCTGACATAGCGGGTTGCGGTGATTGGCAGAGGCCGACAATAGGGGGCAGCTCGGGCGATTTAGACGCTGAAGCTGGAGCTCTGAATGACGGTAGACGCGGAAGCGCATCGGACGGATTGTCGGGAGCTTCCACATTACCTAAGCTGGTCCTGCGCCGGGCTGACTTTAAGGTCACCTTAGCACAACCGCGGTGCGCCATCCATCCACCACGGCGGGGAGCTCATTCGAATGGTCCCCGAAGCTTTCCTGTCGCTGCTCACTGCCGCGCACTTCCACCGTCCGGATCTAGCTATCCAGGGCAAGACACCTGAACCATCTCAATCTCAACCGCGGAGATCAATGGCGTTGTCTTGGCTGGAACGAGGTGCGACTGGCGCCGAGCTTGGGGCTTGATACTCATCCTTGCGGGCTGGCTTGCGTGAACAATGTGGCTCAGTACTAACGAATTGCAAGTTACAACGGCGCCGTCAATCATTGAAGCTCCTCGGTCCAGATGAGATGGTCTCGCATCCACTGCCAACGTGGCCTGCAAGTCATGGGAAATCCACGCGATGGGCTCTCCTACAGCTAAGCTGCCATCGTCGATCCGACTCCAGATTCTATGCTTCCGTTTGCTCGATGGAAACGACGTGGGCCGCGCCCTGAGGCAAGGTAGGGAGGGCGTGTGCAGCAGCCCAAACGCAAGGCCGAAAGGGAAGTGGACATGGGAGGATTTCCAACAGCTGCATCCTCTTAAGCAATCCCAGGCACGGCACGCGGGCAAAGCCACCGACCTAACGCAAGGAAGGAACCCAGGGCAAAGCCAGGAACAGGAAAAGGAACGACTTTCGTCCGTTCTAATTGCGTCCCTGCAGCCGGCAACCAACAACCAAATTTATATGTCTTTCCACTCGCAAGCCCCCAACGACAAGTCGTTCGTTCGGCCGTCCGTCGATTTTAGACGCGCGCTATGGGGGCGGCGCTGAAGACATGCCCCAACAGGCCAACACTGAAGGGCGGCGATGCACTGCAAATGGGGGCTGCCCGCCAGCTGGGCCATCTCATGCAGCCCGCTAATCAGCGTGCCAGAAAGCGATGTGACGGCCCCCCGAGACGTCGACCTGGACGCCCAACGCGGCGGCAGCAGCCGTTCCATCCCTCTGGGACGTCGTCGTCATCCCTTTGATTCGCAGCGCCAGCCGGCGGATAGGGACAGGGCCCTCGCTTGGTCCGTCTCATGTGGCCGCTCCTTGTCCGGTCTCTTTTGGCAGTCGGTGGTCTACGGATACTACTGGCAAGGCATAGCATAATCTGACCTGACTTCAGCTACTACGGATTCGGATACGGATACCTTACTCAGAAGATCAGAGTGCGTGGCCTGGCCCTGCCCTTGTCGTGGAAGCCGAGTCGTCCCCAGAATAGAAGCAGAGCAGAAGCTTCTGCTGCTCTTCGGTTTACCCCTGAGTCCCGTTCTCTCTCGTCACTCGAACATGGGGTTCTCGTCTCCTTCCGTGAAACCGCGGCAAACGGGACGGGGACGACGACAAGACACTGCATTCCAGTCAACGGTCCGTCCGGAATGTTGCCCCACCGGGTGCAATTGCGCTTCTCATGCTGGCAACGCCCCGGGCTTGTCTATGCAAAAGACGGCGTTGTCGTGATGTGTTTGATTGTGGATCGATGTCGAACGGCATGTCTAGCCAGGTCAGGGACTCATGGCAGCTACAGCTGCCTTTCTTTAGACATCGATCACTAGCGGACCCCCAAAGGTAAGGGCATAAGGTACAGAATCCACTGGCCTGCATTTCGCATTTCCACAACAGCTCGCCCTGTGAAGAAACGGGCGAAGCGCGGGGGCGGTCTGCGGTGCCAGGAAGCCAGAAGCCCACCACGGGTGCATTCCGTTGCAGCTCGAGGTGGAATCAGTGGGATCTCGAGCTGCGAGTAAGTGAGAGAGGATGGTCAATGGTCGCCCGCTGGAGGCTGGACGGACGCAAGGACGGTGCTGCGCAGAGTCTCCATATCGTCCACCGTCTTCAGTGTTCTTCCCGTGAGGCGGACAAGATGCAACCACCCCCACCGTTGTCGCCCTGTCTCCAACGATTGGTCGACTGGGAATTGGCTATCATCCGAAGTACAGCCAATCAGACGCGTCGTTCGTCTGGGTTTTGGATTCATTGGGCCACTCGACACCACCGATTGCTGCTGAATGACCGTCGTTCCCCTGGGATACCGCCTGTCACTGGGAAAGAGCCGGGGTGCGCCTAGCAACAACATGTCGAGCTGCCCAACTGCGATGCACTCCAACGTCTCCACGACAAAGACGGACCAGAGAAAAAAAAATCCCACTGCGAAAAGTTTCGTTCGATTCCCACTTTGTTTGCATAGACTTTTTTGCAGTGCAGCCCGCGCAGCTTCACGACTTTCCGCAACTCAACCTCGTCGCTAGCCGTGTCTTTGGCAACCGATAATTCGTCGCGCATTCTCCAGACGAGCGCAATCTCATCCGCCCAGTCCAAACATCCTCAGCACGGCCAATCTTGGACAGCTTTAGGCCGGTTTTGACGCCATTGCCCCTCGATTCACCACGCCACCAGCTCCTCCAGCTGTTCGTACTCTCGCTCACTCGTCGCAACCGCAAACTTCCAGTGCTGAGCTCACCTCGCTCAAAATACAACATCGCCCAGCTTGGATTCCCGCTCTGCAGTCCAGGAATCTCAGTCTCCAGTCGTTTACCCGTCGTCACCTGCAGCTG